GCGGGGGAGGGAAGCGGCTCTGTGTGTTGCTGCCTCCCCGACCCAGCTGAGGGGCAGCATGGGAAACCCGCTCGCCTGATTCCCGGAATCATGGTTAATGGGAGCAGAGGGGGGCGGTGCCTGGGAGCAGTGGCAGGAACAGAGCCAGGTAAGTGTCCCTCATCCCAGACCTTACACCCCCCCCACTCCAGTAGCCTCCCTCCCTGAGCCCACACCTCCACCCCACTCCAGCACCCCACCTGCATCATTTTGTCATCGTGGGTGGTTGGCTGGTGATCTGCAGAAACGTGCATTGAGCAGGGAGGGTCACGAGCCAAAAAGTTTGAGAACCCCTGGCCTTTGGTGTGACCGCACCCTACAGGCAATCTGGCCGGTTCAGTAGATGCATCCTCCCCCCTCAGACTCACCATAGGTTATGAGTTTGCCCATCGGCTTCAGGAGGTGGAAGGCTTTGGAAGTGTCCGATCCTCCCAGGGGGTCCAAGACAATATCAACACCTAGAGAGAGTTTGCGCAGAGAGTAAGAGGCCGTTTATTCCTGCCTCCGGAGGGACGGGCAGGGTAGGGGTGTCGCCTGCCACCTCGTCCTACCCGCAGGCGCTCATGGTACCTTTCGGGGAGATCTTCCGGACTTCCTCCACGTAATCCATCGTCCGGTAGTCAATGGGGTGAGTGACTCCGCTTTCCCTGAGGGCGTCATGCTTGGAGGCGGAAGCCGTGCCAAAGATGGTGACGTTTTCCACCGTCTTGCAGAGCTGGATGGCGGCCGTTCCCACCCCCCCTGAAATAGAAGGCGACAGAGGAGCAGTCAGGAAAGCGTCAGAAACAAATCAGTCCCCTCTTGTGAGATGTCCCCTCCGCACACCTGGCCCCCTGCCGTGGCTCAACCTCTGAGCGAAAGGTGTGTCCGTGGCACAGAAAAACTCAAGCAATGGAGCGCTAGACGGGCGCGGGCTCATGAATACGGCCCTGGGCTCCGCCACCTCACTACGGCGCTTGAAGGGGCTTAAAAAAAATCAGATCCATCCAACTGGACTGCATAGCACCCAACAGCCCAGGCATGGCCAGGACCTGCACAGAGCTCAGTGGGCTATTTTGCCAACCCAGCACCTGTGCAACCGGTCTCAGCTTTTGTATCAGGTTTATCACCCTCTTGTCCAAGTGCTTAACTCATCTCGCACCTCCCTCCCCCCAGCTAAGCGGGCTGTTCCGGAGCCAGCTCCCCGTGAGCAGCACAGTACCGGCAGCCATGTGGACGAGGATGCTCTGGTTGGGTCTCAGGTTCCCGAAGTCAAAGAGGATCATGTACGCCGTGATGTAGTTGACCAGGAAGGCGGCCGCTTCCTCGAAGCTCATTCCGTCGGGCATCAGGTAAGTCTGATTGGCTGGGACAGTGATGACTTCCTGCCAGAGCCCCGCCCTGGCCAGCACCATCACCTTGTCACCAACCTAAAGCCAGAGGGAGAAAGGAGGGTGGATGGTGGGTCGGCAGAGAGGTCGCACTGTAGCTACATCTCTGTATTAATCACAAATCTCTACATTCATCATTTCCTCACTGAAGTTTTGAACAGGGATATTAAATATTGGTTAATTGAATAGTCGATTAAGCTCATGAATTCTTATCGGTTAGTCGACTATTCTATAGTCTCCGGGGGGTGGGGTCGGCAGCCAGCGTGCTCCGGCCCCACTCTTGGAGAGCCCCCTGCCATTCCAGGTGGGAGCTGGTCTGCGAGGAAAGCCAATTTAAAAACCACCTTCCCTTGTGGACCTGCCTGCCTGCCACCCTGCGCTGCTGCTTCTGATACAGAGGCAGCAGCATATCTGGGGTGGGTGGTCTGAGCTCCCACAAGCTGGAACGGAGCCTGGTTGCTGGCTAGCCTGCTAAAAAATTACTGGTGGGAGGTGAGGGGGGAAGAAATGCGTGTGGTCTATAGCATTCACCTATAAGCTTTTGCTTATCGGTTAATCGGTTCACTGACTCGATTACATCCCTAGTTTTTAACTTTGTATCAAGTCCTTTTACATAGACACTTTGTACCTTTTCTTATAGAACAGAGACACTTCTTTGTATTACATCTTGGTAGAATAGCCCCTAAAAAGGAGGAAGGCGAAGAGAATGTCCTTGTGGAGTGAAGGAGGTGGGAATGGATAAGGCGAGCCCTTCCGGGCAGTTTGGAGCGGGGATGGAAGCTTGACCCAAGAACAATGAGACCTGGGAAGTGGGCCCATTGAAAGACGATTGGACATATGGATGCCTTGGGAGTCAGCAGCAAGGGCCTGCTTTGGGAAGCCCCCTCTTTGAAGGGGAATGTGGCAGCGTTGAGACGCCACCCAGAAGAAGGCGCCACAGAGGACTAACTGCATCTGTATACGACGACGCTCACAGTGGGGAATGTGGCAGCGTTGAGACACCACCCAGAAGAAGGCGCCACAGAGGACTAACTGCATCTGTATACGACGACGCTCACAGATTTTGCATATGCATAAGAGGATAGATTTGCATGAGAGGGGAGCTACTATAAATCTAAGACATCTTGCAGGAGGACCCCGGGTTTCCTCTTGTCAAGGGGGGAGGGGCACCGAACCGGATCGGTAGAAGCCCAGCTCTGCCCCTCCTCCATCTAACTCACCTGGCCAGTGCGGTTCAGGGGAGCAACTATTGGTAGCAACAACAGAACAGAGTGTGCTTTTATGTGTGTGTGAGAGAGTGTAATAGATCATATGCATATGATAAGTGTTGATTGCCAGGTGTATTACCAATAAAAGTGGTGTTTTGCCTTATCCCCCTGAAAAGATCCTGTGCAGTATTTTAAGTACAACACCACTCAGCATCTTCTGCACCCCATTCTGCAGGTACTCAGCCTACAGCACCAACACCAGTTTCTTCTCAGACAACGCACAAGTCTGCCGTGCCTGGCCTGCCGCTGGTCTCTGGCTGGGAACGCGATGGCTCTCCTCCTCCTCCACAGAGTCAATATGCATTTGCCACGTTTCTGGACACAACCGAACTCGCCATGCCGGCTGGGCTTTGTGCAACAGACTCCATGGGACAAGGGAGCAGCAAACTTCTGGCATTTAGTTTCACTTACAACTAGGGATGTAATAGGGTGAATGTTTAAACGGTTAATGGAGAAGCATGAGTTTATCGGTTCCTCTAACGGTTACATGCCAGCTCCCAGGGAGCTGCCATGCCACTCTGCTGGCTCTGTATCAGAGTGGGGCAGCAGCCGGCTTTCTGGGAGTGGGGTCGGGAGCCAGAAGCAGGGCTTAAAAGAGGCAGCAGAGGTAGCAGCTGGCTCCCCCGGAGCGGGGGAGCAGGTGGGAGCCAGGAGCTGGCTTAAAGGCAGGCTTCTGGTACACATTGGCTCCCGGGGAGCCGGCTGCTGTCCCTGCTTTATATTGCAGAACCTGCAGCATGTAACCGCTAAGATTTTTTAATGGTTACCTAATTAACCGCTTTTTAATCTCCCTACTTAGAACCTGACACGTGGGCTGAAACCTGAAGCAAGGCCGGGTGGGATTCCCAACCAGGGAGCAAGAAGTCCAAAGCCTACGATCATTCTGCGACATCTGCTTCCTGTTGAGAGTTCTCTCTCCAGCAAGCGCCTGGTCCTCTTCAGGGTTTACCAGTTAACCGCTTAAACGGGCTCCCGTGGGCAGGGGGCCCAGCCAGACCAGAGCAGCTCTCCATCCATCCAGAGGGCTGCTCCAGCCCAGCCAGACCGCCAGTTTAACAGTAACCTGTAAGCCTCACCCTTACCAGATGATGCTTACCAGTTAACCAGTCACATCCCTAGTCCTGTCGAAGGCAGCAAAATGCAATCTAGGGACAGGAGCATGAATGGAGACTCAAGGTGAGCGCGCTCTGATAGTTGTGATTACAGAGAGAAGTTGTCCTTTCTACTTTCAGAAGACTGGCACATGGATTGTCTGTTGGCCCCTAGCCTTAGGGCAGGGACCAGACCGTGTTCTGTAAGGCACGTTCCCGGCTCCCTGACAGTAACAGGATATCCAGGAGTTGACCTGAGCTGAAATGGATACAGATGCGGTGTGGAACAGCCCGGCAATTTTGTTTCAAGCGATACTGCGCATTTCTCTACAGACAACTGCAAATTCCACTTGGGTTTTACAACTCCTGCCAAGACCCTTGCACCGTTCTGGCTTCTGCAGGCGCTGAGGCAACAGCCTCAATGTTCAAAGCAACACCGCATTTTCCCATTAGGCCAGCCACAAAAGATCTTACAGAGCAATTAGCAAAAGACTCTGTAAACATTTTCCTGTTATTTTTTAAGGACGTCAGAAGCAGGAAGTCTGCAAACCATCAGCGGCGCCCCTGGACAATTGAGATGCTAAAGGAGCACTCAAGGAACACAAAGCCAACATGGAGATGCTAACTGAATTCTTTGCCCGGGTCTTCACTGCAGAGGATGTGAGGGAGACTCCCACAAGAGACATTCCTTTTAGGCAGGCCTGCACAACATATGGCCCAAGGGCTCACTGTGCAGCCCGTGCCAACTATGAGCGGCCCGGCCCCATCCGATCTGCCGGCCGGGCGGAGGAGCGGAGCGCTGCCGGGGAGGGGGAAGTGCGACAATTCTTGCTGCCGGGATGCCTGCAAGCAGCTCCGGTGCGAGGAGGCGGGGTGCAAGCCAGAGAGCGGGACGCCGGCAGACGCCAGGACGCTGGTGTGACGTGGCATCATGACGTCACGGCCGGCGACCGCCAGATTCAAAAAGGCTCCGGCAGCCCCGCAGCCTGCAAGGCAGAAGCCAGGTAGGGGAGGGGAAGGGGCTTTTGCTGAGGGGAGGGGGGCAGGTCAGGAGAAAAGGGAAGGCACCAAGGGGCAGGGTGCAGGAGAGACAAATGCCAAGGGGCCAAGTGGAGACACGCATGGCATTTTGTTTTTGCTCGACAAAAATTTTTAGCCCGCGTGTTCGGTATTTTTTGGGAGGGCATCCCTACTTGCGGCCCGCAGTTGTTTTCTTTGGAGTAATATGGCCCTTGCTGCTTTCTGAGTTGTGCAGACCTGCTTTTAAGTGATGTATCTGAGGAACTGTCCCCTGCGGAGGTGGAGCTGTGGTGGAGCAGAGGGGGCGGGGCCTCAGCAGAAGGGGAGGGGCCTCAGCAGAAGGGGTGTGGTTGGGGCTAGCATCTCCCAGCCTGCAGTTCACATGCTGCCCAAGTAGAGACAACATGTGGGATGGTCACATGATCCCCAATTTTTAAATTGTGCTTCCCCCATCAACATTTGAGTGTCATCTGTGAGTCAACATATTCATAAATGAACTGAAGAAACGGATCAACAGCGAGGTGGCAAAATTTACAGCCAATACTAACTTACCCAAAGCAGACGGTAGGAAGTTATAAATGGAATCTCACAAAACTGGATGACTGGGCAAGAAAATGGTAGTGAAATTTAGCGTCGTTAAATGCAAAGATAAATGCAGCATCTATGAATGCACATTGGGAAACATAATCCCAACTCTACATACAAAAATGATGGGGTTTCAATGAGCCACTACCACTCAAGGAAACTTTTGGAGTTCATGTGCTTCGTTCTTTGAAAATACCTGCACAAGGTATAGTGGCAAAAAGACTAACAATATTGAGAACTACTAGAGATAACGAAATGCTAATATCATATAGCCAGTCGAGAGATCCATGATACACCCTCACCATGAATACTGCATGGCATTCTAGTTGCCCGTCTCAAAAAAATTTATTAAAAATGGAAAAGGTTCAGAGAGGGACAACAACATCTATTAAGGGTATGGAACAGTGGCTATATAGACTCATAGACTTTAAGGTCAGAAGGGACCATTATGATCATCTAGTCTGACCCCCTGCACACTGCAGGCCACAGAATCTCACCCACCCGTCCTAGAATAATCCTCTCACCTATATCTCAGATATTGAAGCCTTCAAATACTTTGAAGACCACAAGATGCAGAGAATCCTCCAGCTGTGATCTGTACCCCATGCTACAGAGGAAGGCATCTTTTGCCCCCACTACTTCCCTTGGAAGGCTGTTCCAGAACCTCACTCCTCTAATGGTTAGAAACCTTCGTCTAATCTCAAGTCTAAACTTCCTATTAGCCAGCTTATATCCATTTGTTCTTGTGTCCACATTGGTATTAAGCTTAAATAATTCCTCTCCCTCCCTGGTATTTATCCCTCTAATATATTTAAAAAGTGCAATCATGTCCCCCCTTACTTTCTTTTGGTTAAAGTAAACAAGCCAAGCTCCTTGAGTCTCCTTTCATAAGACAGGTTTTCCATTCCTCGGATCATCCTAGTGGCCCTTCTTTGTACCTGTTCCAGTTTGAATTCATCCTTCTTAAACATGGGGGACCAGAACTGCACACAGTATTCCAAATGGGGTCTCACCAATGCCTTGTATAATGGCACTAACACCTCCTTATCTCTACTGGAAATACCTCGCCTAATA